ACTAAAAAACTAAAAACTAAACTAAATTAACACTTAAACGTAACCGTACCTACGTAAGTAACTTACTTACGTTTTTGTTTCGTACGTAGACGACTCACTGTCCTCTCTCTCTCTCTCTCTCTCTCTCTCTCCCTCCCTCCCTCCCTCCCCCATGTGCTCTCTACATATGAGAAGAATAAGCAGACGCCTCCATTTCTCTCTCTCTCTCTCCCCTCCCCCCAGCCATGTGCTCTCTACATATGAGAAGAAGAAGCAGATGTCCTCCAAGTGTTCGATGTGCAATCTCTCTCTCTCATACACACATAAACATACACAAACAAAGATACACATGGACCCGTGTGCTCCTTTACATCTACGAAGAAAAAAGAGAAGAAGATGACCTCCAATGTGAGGTCTCTCTCTATCTCTCCATATTAGAAGAAGAAAAAGAAGAACATCCTCCAAGTGTTCAAGACCTCTCTCTCTCAAATACGGACCCAAAAGAAAAAAAAAGGGGATGATCTTTAAGAAATTCATGCGAGGCCTATTGCACATACATACACGCGTGCACATGCACACATACACACTACACACTACACACTACACACATTAAAAAAACACACACACGAAACAACATATGCCCCCTACCCCAACCCTCTGCCCTTAGGGCCACCCAAGTATCTGGGCGACAGCCTAGGCACTCACCCGACCGCCTAGGCAGTCAGGGCCCTTGGCCACCTATGCGACCGCCTCCACCTTTTTTTAACATTGATAACCGCAAATTGTGGCCTTGGATTCAGAAAATAATGGATAAATGTCAAGAAAGCCTCTAAAGTCCAGAAACTTGAGTTTGAAGTTTCCTAAATTATTTTCAATGCGAGTTCAGGGATGGCCACATTCGATAAATTATCAATTCCTCAATATACATATTAGGATCTGTTTCTTGAGGATAATTCTTACCACATATAATCTTTGAGCCAACAAAGAAGAAGAAGATTGAAGAAGGTGGTTTTAATGCTCAATTCATCTTAGCACACTTCAAAACTCAAGGACAAGCTTGCTCCAACTAGGGAGTCTAATATAGGAAAAAATTATTCGCATTTTTAATTTATTGTATTTTCAAAGGATGCATATTTTAATTTTCACTTAAGAGTTTATTTTTGAGGGTTTTTAAGTTTTTAGGGATTCTAGGTTTCTTTTTTATTGTATTTTTAGGATTTTAGGAGTTGTCTAGAAAAGTAGTTAAGAGTATTTTGCTTTATTAATAGAAATTTCATTGCGAGTTTTGTTTTAAGTTGGGATTATTTATTTTTGATAGAGGCATTATATAGAATAAAAATACGTGTGTGGGGCTCTATGGGGCCATTTACGTGACTTTGAAAAGACGAAAAAGCAAACAGAAGCTTTTGCTCCCTACTTCGGGTTTTGGGAAGGAAACCCTGGTTTCCTTAAATTGGTGCTTGTGCTTTGCTTAATTTTCTATTTTCTTCATCAAATCTCTACATCAATAAATCTTGTGCACCTTAAGTTGTAGAAAGACAAATTAAAAAAGAAAAAAAATGGTTAAGGAACAAAGAAGAAATTCACCAATCAACTCAAAGAGAGTGAATCTGAAAATGAAAAGTTACATCCCAAAACTCCACTAGAAAACTGGTTGGCTTTCTAGTCACCTTTCTTAAGATATAAGTGAAAGAGACCCATCATTATAGGAGAGCTGGGGACTAGGGAGACCAGAGACTTGCTTGATCCTAACAGCCAACGACCAATGAGGTCCATTTACCCTGATATCCTATCTAATAACATTAATGGAGCCTCCTGCAAGAACAATGGCACCAGAAAACAATGGTGAAAAATGTGAGTCACAACCACAGAAAAACTTTGCCAACCACACAAATAGAAACCCAGTAGAAGTGTCACTTGAGAGGGGAAGCAATTCCTATAATCTTATCGCCATGTGCTCTGAGAGGAGCCAAGTTTTGGGTGGGAACCTGCTTGAGAGGGAGTTTGGAGAAGCCCCATCTCAATTGAGGAATCTTGACCGCTCCAACCCCCTCTCTCTTTCATTTACTTTTTATTTTCTTCAGTTCTGTCATTTGGAATGCATCAAAACTGCAACTCTTATCTCCTACCACTTGACACACGCAAACAAACATGAGACCATGTGTGTGCACACAACACACAAAGGACAAGAAATGGAAATGTGCTAGTTCAAATTGCATGATTTCCAGTCCAATAGAAAAGCTTCACTAATCAGATTCTCAAAAATCGAATCAGATTTTATGACGATAATTTCAAAGATAGACAATTTCTCTAATGAATGCATAAAACAGTAACATTGTTATATATACAGGAAACGTAAAAAAAAGAAGCATAGGATATGTTTGCAATAACCCAAAGCTCAGCATGAACAAGAATCTAAAAAATAATTATAAAGACTTCATTTTTCTCTGGTAATGATTGATTGAGTTCACTTTACTTCTTAAAATTTCTTCCCAGATTAAGAAATTTCCACAGCAGCTTGCTCCCATGATGGAGAAAGAGACATAGAAGGCATGAACAAACAATTAATTTACATTCTGGCTGCCCACTATTTAGCTATTTAGTGTTCCTTGATTCAAGTAAGACACTCTTAAGACTTATCTACCACAGAACCAGTGAGATACATAGCTCACATTCAGAAAAGCAAGAAATTCAGGACCTTCAGCTGGCTCAATTTCTAAAATCAGAAAATTTGATCCAAATTTGTTATTCAAAGAAAAAAGTGAATACCAGCTTGTCAAAAAGATAAACGAGTTTATCATGCTTATTGGTCACATACCCTTCAAAATTTATCTTGTTAGTGTTTAATTTCGCGTACAAGTAAAAAAATAGCCGTGTATCAAGAATATTGTAAAATGGATAGTCAGATTCTGTCCCAAATCAAGTAATTGTGTATCTAATTGATCATTTTAAGAAGAGTTATAACTTCAATTCAGTTGTAAGAAAATACAACTTCTTTCTTTATTTGGAAACTAATACAACTTTGAATTTCATTTCATAAAAAAATAATCTCAGAGACAACCAAATAAAGGAAATATTCACCATCGACCCAATTCTTTTCTAAAATGTCCCTCAAACTTGACACATTGATTAATGGACCACCAATAGTTATTTCCCTTATTGTCGTTCCCAAGCAGTGTTACAAAGTACTGTAGAATGCCATGCAAATATCATAAGGAATATCAATGAATTTTGACAAAATTATAAATCCAATGAATTTTGAAAATCTTCCAGTTTATAACCATCCACCTTGAGAGCAGCCTTTCATATCCTGCCACACCATCCTTCCATGTAACACCAAAATGTCCACCATCTTCTCCATTCCTAAATGCCATATAATATCTTAACATAATGAAAACAGCTTTCAGACCCCATTAAACTCAAATTATGTTTCCAAACACAATGAAATCCCATAGACCTGTTAAAGTGGAATAAAAGCTTCACTACTAGAGTTTCCCCATCAAACTGCACACAACCTTCAAAAATCCATCCATGACCTTGTTCCCTTATCCCTCATATTGACAATCCTATAAAAGTCCTTTATGTTGCACAGCCTAGTTTGTCCTACTTAAGTCTTCTGGACCCGATATTTTTTTTCTTTCTTCCTGTTGGTGTCTATGCTTCTATCCTCTGGAGCTGTGTTATCCATTTATCAACACTCCCACAAAATCCCTTGTTCTACAATTGAGCTCCCTTACTAATCATTAAAAAAAAGGAGCTCACTTTTCACAAATTTAAGATTGTTAAGAAACTTGGCTATCCTGAAGTTCCATATTGCACAAATCATCACTGGGTCCTACTGTATATCAATCTTGTCAAAAACCTGAATTCTTCAGCAGGACTCTTTTCAAAATAAATAACTCATGACCTTCAGTTCTGTCCATGAAATCCGAACATAATGAATGTGACTTTCCCTTGTTCTGATTGGTGTCCAGAATGCCACTTCAAGCAAAGAAAATTCTTCCAAACCCAACACTTGAGCTGGAAGTGCTGCATTAACCGATACACTAAAACCCTGAGTTTTGGAAAAGAATTGAAAAAAAAAATATCTACCCTGCATCATGGGAGGGCCTGGAGACTAAATTTTCCTTCATAGAAGTTAATTATCTAAAATCATATTCCTCCACTGAAACTTTTCAAAGTTAGAGCCATTTGTAAACAAAATGAAGATAGGGACTTCCAGTGAGTGCTAATTCTGCATCATTGCGATAAGGTCACTGCTCATTAGAAATTTGAAGATTTCATGCATATGAAGGGAGATGATGCCTAAACAGTTTACGGTTAGCTCAGCTCAATTAAAGTCAGATCTATTAAACAATTACCACTTGTCTGAAATAAATAGAACTTTTAAAAAGCGTTGAGCATACAACTCGTGTTAATCATAGATCTTTAGTCAACAATAAGAAATGCATATAAACCCTAAAAGAAGGGCATGATATCACATATTGAAGGGGAGACAAACCAATAAAGGCAACAAAATAAATCTGGAAAGAGGAATTGCAAGGATCGGTCCACATGCAAATCAATCATACTCATAACCTATCAAAGACCAAAGGGGAAACAAACAACAAAGAAAGGTGTACCAGACATCGATGAAAAAAGATGGAAATAAACCACGAAAGAAGGAATCAATAACGTCAAAAAATCAATACGGAATAACAAAAATAAGATCCTTAAAAGGAATCAAAACAATCAAACGACATGCAAGTCAATCTAAATATTAAATATTACTATTCCAACAGAAACCAAACAAAAATGAAAGGTGCACCAAACAGTGATGAGATCAAACCCTCTCGACAGATCAAATTTTGATTGAGAAAAATCCTACAGAAATGTCAGGGAGAGAGAGATGGATCCTTGTGTTTACCAAAGAAAGATGAGATTTACAGAGAGCGAGGATAATTGAGAGAGAGATGACATCTTAGAGAGAGAAAAGAGAGATGTTAGAGAGAGAGAGAGGACTCACAAACTTCAAGATCGCTGCTTAAGAATTCGTTGTCATCACCACCAAGGCAATCAAACATGGAAGAGTTCCACTGCTCCCTAACCCCTACAAAAGGCACACCTTCAGCCACCCATCCTTTTTCCTCCTCCTCTCTCTCCTCTTTCTTCATATCCTCTGAAACAAACTCTTCTTTCTTCTCAGTTTCCGCGTCCTCCTTCAAAACCCCATTGTTGGCTTTTGCTTCATCGCTCTTCTCTCCTTCTTCGGCCTTGGATCTCGCCATGCCCGCCCCTTCCATATTCCTCTGCAATTCTTCTTCCTACGACAAAGCTATCTATTAACAAAGAAATGCCAATTTATTATCATTTGGTTTGTTAGATATGACTGTTTCCATTGCTTCGTTATTTCTATTAGTTCTCCTCTTTTTTTCTTTTATTTTCTCCCAATATATCAGCCACGTAAGGAAAACGGACCGGCCTGTTTACATTTTAATATTTTCTTTTTAAGAATTTATCAAAATATTCAAGAGATCATTCCCCTTCAACAAGGCCGTACATTATTTTATAGGTATTTTAAAATTTAAATCAAAGGTATGGATAAGAACAAGATTTCTAGTCCCGACTTTGGAAATGTGTCTCTTTTTTAAATTCATTTTTGAGATGGATTTTAGAGTTAAATTTTTAGAAATTGTCAGGTCCACTTCTCATCGTTCCATCTGTTTTAGCTTTCCATGAGATTGATCTTGATCTTGTGATAATATACATATATATATATATATATATAAAAGCTTGCTTGATATTGTCATGGTGTTTGTGGTTAGTCAGTCATTGAGTTGAATTTGTCATACATGTATGTCTTTTTTCGTTGCAAACTACTACTATAATCTATATTATATGTTATTTTCAACTTGCGGTTGATATGTTACAATAGTTTTTTATGATTTAGTTTTGTTTTTTTTTAGTTTAATTCAAGAAGGTTTCTTGAATTGTTATTTCTACGTTTTCCATGTTATTTTGATGAATGGTATGCTTTCTTCGACTCTAAATACTTAAGAATCGTGTTTATGCACTAAATCTAATTGCAATTTGAGGAGACAGGATATGATGGTTCCTTGTGCTATGGGAAGTTTAGCATTCATATTGATATCTAACCGTTGCAGTTGTTGTCCCATCCAAGTTTTGGCTTATGCATCTAACATCAGATCTCCAGAGTAGTGTATTGTCATTTTTTCTTAAGCGACCAAACTTTTTTTTGGATCTCTTTATGTTTGATCTTTTTTGCTTCATTAAAATTCTTAATTGTCCTTTGCTTCAGAATAGATAATGGGTTTATTTTTTTCATTGGAAATCACAGGAGTTTTTACATGAGTTTTTACATATTATTTTCTTATGTTGGATTTATGAATGCCCATACTTCTGCAACTCCAATTCTATTGATGCCCTAACCTAGTTATGGGGCTTCTCTAACCAACATCTGATTTCCATAGTGACAGATTGTCATGTTATTTTTGAGCTACCAAAATTTGTCTTGGATCTTTTTATGCCGATTTTTCACTTTGATAAATGCATATTTCCTTTTAGCTTTGGAATGACATGAAAATGATTTTTAACAGGGGCAATATCTGGATATTTTTCATAACTCTGAATATATTTACAATAGAAGTCCGTTCTGTGTTGGAAGAAATCATTGCAACAAAAACTTGAGCAACAAAAACTTGTAGGTGCATCTTTTTCTTTAGCTTCATAATGGATTGTGGCATTATTTTTTATCATGGGAACTTGCAAGATGCTTTTCATGAGTCTGATCTTGTTGCCAATAAAAGTCAGACTACGAAGAAATCATTGCAGATGAACACTATTTTTCCTGAGGTTTGTTCTTGCATGTAGATATTTCCTTACTTTATACAACAAAAAAGAATATATGTTCTTACTTTATAGCTCCATTTCTATTTTTAGATGGAATCAAATGCCTTGGCCCAAGATTCTCTAGACCATAATGGTGCTTCAATGAAAGGTAGTAAAAAACCCGTTAGGCAATTGAATGCGGTTCTTGCACTTCAGGTATTCATAAGTTTTAACATTCTGTAGGAATGAACTGTTTTTGTGTTCAACATTAATTGGATAAAATTTCTAATATTTGATCTAGTATATTTTCAAGTGATGAAAGTTGTCTCACACTTCCAAAATTCGTAAGAAAGGCCATGGTAAGAGAAATAAGTATTTAGGTTCTTGATTATCAGAAGGAAGTCAAAGTGGCCAAGTTGTTGTGGGAAGTATTGATGATTGCCATGGAGGTCCAAATTGTAGTCTTCCAAAAGATGTAATTACAGGATGTTCAGGCATGGTTGATGCCTGCATTCCAAACATTGATAGCTTTAGTGATATTGACAATGAAATAGCTACAACATTTTGTTTTAAAGAGGCACCTCATCCACATCTACCTGAAGCTTCCTCTACTTCTTCCAAAGAGAAAGAAATGGATGTTATGGCAATTAATCAACTGCAAAACCCTTCTTTGCCCCGTTTGAAATTCAAAATCAAGGCTGAGAACATTGACATGAAATTTTATTATTTTGACTCTGGTACTTGGTAGGTGTCTAAGTATGGTTGGATTAGTGTGAGTTGCAGATTTTTATAAAGGCGTTTTGCCTCTCTCTCATTATTTAGAACACTATTTAGAAAGATATCATTGTCACAAGTAACAGTTGATTGTTAAAGATCTCAATTTAGCAATTGATTGTTAAAGATCCCATTTTTTCACAAGTAGCATGTGATTGTTGAAGATCCCATTTATTGGTCTTTAGAAAGAGGCAGATGAATATTTATTTGGATTTGAGATAAAGTGAGATAGAGGCAGATAAATATTTACTTAGATTTGAGATAAGATCATATAGAAGTCATTTGGATATTCATATCCTAATTGGGAGCCATTTACCCCAAAATTTGGCTTATTTCGCTTGAATTTTGATCGAGGCCTTAGGATGCCATTAAGCACAGTCATGAGAATTTCTATTGGCGTCTTTTTACTGCAATTTTCATAGAATTTCATTGCCTTCATTCGAAAGGTCCATCTCCCCTTCTTTTTACTGCAATTTTTATAGAATTCCGTTGCCTTCATTCCAAATGTCCATCTCTATTGCAATTTTCATAGAATTCCATTGCTTTCATTCCAAAGGTCCATCTTTGAGATGGATATTTTAAAAAACAGAAAATGATTTGTCAAAATAACTAGAGCCAAGATGAGTATTTTAAAAAATAGAAAATGGTGTGTCAAAATAACTAGAGCTTCAGCCCTTTTCATTGTCTAGTATTTTGCACAATGAGTATTTAACAAGGGGAAGTCACCCCTCCTTTTTATCTAGTTTTTTTTTTTTTAAAGAAACCTCCTTTTAGATTTTATGTAAGCTAATTTTAAAGAAGGGAGAAGCAAAGAAGTGCAGCTGCTAAGATCTTATTTTTTCACAAGTATTCCATGTGATGATTGAATTTTGGTCTTTAGAAAGAGGTAGATATATTTGCTTGGATCTCAAAAACGATGAACTAGAAGTCCTTTTGATTTGGGATATATGTTCTATACCATATATGAATATTTGCTTGGATCTCAAAACTGAAGTTTACCAGTAAAGCTCTCTGAGTTTTCTCTATTTCCTCAATGATTGTATGAAGTATCAGCTATTTTCCTTGATGCGAGTATGAAATATCAGAAAATGTAACAAAGAAAATTAATAAATACATAATGCTTTATCATGTGGGCTTTTGTGTTCATTTTTCTTTTTCTTTGATGAGATTGTGAAGTTCCATTGGAAGGAAAGACAACGAGCTTCGATCATATGGGCTCTTGTCAGCATTTTTGTTAACTTTGCAGAGTCTACATTGTTACTTTTATATTCGAGTATAGCTTAGTAGAACCAATTTGACATGAGTAGGAATTTGTATTTTTTGGCATATGAGGTAGGCCTATGATTGAAACCTACAAATTATCCCTCAAGAAAACCAAGTTACTTATAAAATTTAAACACCTATTCCACTGCATATTTGTAAAAGACTCAACAAACTGTATACTCACAGTAGTTCAATTGTAACATCTGCTTCAATTGATGTATAAATCTCTCTCTCATCAATAAAACTCTCTCATAGCACTCTCTACACACCTCTCTCAATCCAACATACTTTACTGTCAATAAATCACTCATCAATAAAACTCTCTCATAGGACTCTCTACACACACTCTCTCAATCCAACATACTTTATTTTCAATTGATATTGTATACCAAAATATAATATTCTACAAATTAATAAAAAATAAGTAATATCTAAGTCTCAATTTTAACATTTTACATCTTGCCTATTTAAAGCTAATCCAATATAGATACCCATAACTTCTTTAACTTCCCAGGAAGTTATCAAATGCAAAAACCAAATCTTCTTTTACTTCCCAAGAGGTTATCAGACACAGAAACCATGAACTTCTTAACTTCCCAAGAGGTTATCAAAACAAAAACCAGGAACTTTTTAACTTCCCAGGGAGGTTATCAAACATAGAAACCATGAACTTTTTAAGTAACTTCTAATTTACAGTTCTTCAGAAACTTCCTATTTACAGTTCATGAACTTGCTTCCAGTTATCAAACATACCCTATATGTAAGATGGATGTTTGATGCCTCGGGGGATGCAAATGTAGGAATGCGTCCCCTGATGCATACAATAATTTTCTATGGCCCTTTTTATACATAAATTGTTATATGCATCAAGGGAATGCCTTCCTACATTTGTATCCCCCAAAGCCATAAACCGTCCATCTCAAAGATGAATGTAAAATGGTGTTCGCTTCAAAAAAGATTAAAACTAATAGTCCAAATATTCCCCTAAAAAATCATTATTTTTAGTTTTTTAAAAATATTTTTCTTTTTACAGATTAATGATCTTCATGTTAGAGATTACACCCTCCACCGAATTTATTTTATTTTAGAATTCTAAGACCCTAGAGCACACTATACCAATTTACCATGGGACATATTTATCAAAACATAGTCCAGCCCAAAATATTCTTTAAATTTCCCATATATCCATTATCCGTTTTTAGGAAACCAAATATCCTCATATTTTAAAACTTAGAAAAAACTAAATACTTCCAAAATCCTTAGATATCCTTAATACTCAAAACCCAAGATAAGCAGGTCAACAATTTAGAATTTCCTACTTAAAAAACTAGGTTTCCAGACTAGGTAGTTTCTATAACATGAAAAGAGAGTTTGTGCATCCCGACTTTCTAGAGACATCTAAACTCGAATAGATCATCATCATTTGACTTAGTGTAACTCTTCTTATCAATCCTATAAAGGTTTCCGACTTTCTAGAGACATCTAAACTCGAATAGATCATCATCATTTGACT